GAGAGAAAGAAGGAAACCTTTTAGACTGGTGATTGTAAGAGTTGGGCTGTCCTCTGGCATTAAGCCAGACCTTACATGGATCCTACAGAGTAGCCAGAACATCTGAACTGTTGCGTTGGATATTCCTGTTGCTTAATATTCCCTACGTGGGAATCAACCTGCTTGCTCCTGGTTACAACTGCAGTAATATTTGCTTAAGGAAAGTGTTTAAGGAAACCTTTTAGACTGGTGATTGTAAGAGTTGGGCTGTCCTCTGGCATTAAGCCAGACCTTACATGGATCCTACAGAGTAGCCAGAACATCTGAACTGTTGCGTTGGATATTCCTGTTGCTTAATATTCCCTACGTGGGAATCAACCTGCTTGCTCCTGGTTACAACTGCAGTAATATTTGCTTAAGGAAAGTGTTTAAGAAGTAAAATAGGCCCAGAATGCTCTGCTCCCCAAAAAGCCCATCCAGCTGTGGCCATCAGTGGTTTAAAGGCATTAGAGAAAGAAGAAACTATTTTGTGTGAAGTTCTGCGGCACGATTTGTTGTCAGAACATTTTTTAGCTGTGGTACTACACAAAGTCAACACCAGCAGCTCGCTTGGTGCTCCCCAACCCCTCCAAAACCAACTCAAACAACAACAAATGGAAAACCCAACAAAAAATGAAAGCAACAGCTCTCTGAGCAAAAAAGACATGCTTCCCACCTTTCCACCACAATCATTCCTGGGTCATCTTGGGCTTTTGTTCATCCGCAGGCTGAAATACCGACAGAGGTCAGGAAGGAGATCCTCACTTTCCATCACGAGGGCTTCTTCTGGCGGTGCTGGTTCTTCGGCGAGGGCCACCCAGAGACCATCTGGACCTTCTGGTACAGTAAGTACGATGCCACCTCGCCACCTCCACAGCATTCGTTCACGGTTTGAACCACAAACAAACAAGGGAAGAGCTCCCAGGGATGAGGAGGCGGTTGTCTCGATTTCATCTTTTTTTTCGTTCTCGTTGTCTCTCAATCAAAAGGAAACTTGCCTCACCCTTTTTGTGCTCTTTTTTCAACTTGGGTTTTGCTCTCAGAGGGTCGTTGATGGAAATGTAGGAACCTCTTGAGGCCCTTTAATCCATCATCTACAAAGTTTTGGTGGCTTCTGCGAGGAAGGCCAGCTCTCCCCGCCTATACCTCTTGATGTTTGTGTCCAGCTAAGATCTGCTACGTCTGAGCCCGCGCCTTTCCTGGGCATTAGCATCACTTTTTTGTGTTTTCAACCCTCAGGGTGCTGAACATGATGTCAGCACGGGGAAGGCTGGACATGCACCCTCGTGGTCTCCCTGGGTGCTCAGAACCTCTAGCGATGGGCAGGGGTGGACTGCAAGGAGCCACAACCACGTGCTCTTAAGCACCCAAACCCTTCGTTTTTAGCTCTTACCCATTTTTCTTTTTAAGGTCATTGAAATTACACGTGTGAATAAACAGGGATGGATGCAAAAGCATTTTTTTTTTTTTTCAGAAAGCGCTTTCACTCTTCAAAAAAAAACTTGAAGGAGAAGGTGAAACCTGCTCTGAGACACCAGTCGGTGCTGACTGGGGGCCCACGTGCAGCGAAGTGTGAGTGAACCAGGTGGTCCCACCAGAAAGAGCAAGGGAGTGAGACATCCCATCCCACAGCACACCTGGCACCGGCTCCCCTCCATTAGTGCACCACGGCTAATTAAAGGACAGCCTTTCCCTGGGATGCCACAACCCTGGAGAAATATTGGGGATTAAAAAATAAACCCCCAAAACCATTTAAAATAAGTTCTGCAAAGTTTTTAAATGCTGCAAAAGCTTTGAGCCTGGGCTCGCTGATCCTTCGGTCTGCTCAAAAATGCTTACGCACCCGCGGAGCAGCCTGGTCGTAGGGTTTTGAGCTGCAAATAATGCAGGTTCCCACAATAAATTTACTCCGTGGTGGTTGAATTTTCAGATGACTTTGCTGTCCCCCAGTCCCTGACCTGTGTCCCCTGTAAAATCTTGCAGGAGCAGTTGTTGCCACTGTTCAGCAGAGCAATGTGAGATTTTTCCCGCAGAAGCCTTTTGATAAAAAAAGGACAGGCTTGAGAGAGGGAGTTTGCTATCTAATTACATTATGTGGAAATACATGATATAATATAACGTTACCTGAAGTAAAATAACTCTTTCTGATAACTGGCAAATATGTGTTACTTCTTTAGGTATTTATTATAATAGGATTGATCATGGCAAATTAATTTGCTGCTCTCGTGGATGTAATAATTAATTCAATAGGTATTCCATAGTCAATTTAGCATGAACTAATGTCCACCTATTATAAAGTGTTCCTTTGAGCCGAGGAACATATTTAAATAAGTGGCCAACCATTAATTAATTCATTTAACATTCATTCTATTACTGTTAATCACGATAAGCCTCAGTGGTATTAATATTGATGGGGCACTTCCATTCTAATTGTGCTTTCCCGTCTTACAAACTGGAGGTCTTGTAAGGTAGCTTGTTCTGGTACCCAAATTCCCTTGTCCCGTCCAGGGGGTCTGACACAATTTCTGAAGAAAAGCAGCAGTGGGAATATTCACCTTGATTTCAGTTACTCCATGTTTCATCATTTATGTTCTCCTGGGTATGAAGATGGGGAGATGCACCGAGGGAGCAGTCTCAGACCCTGTTATATCTCCCCTCTTCCCTTCTCTCATCATTATTCTTTTGCTTATTGAATTTCTATCCAGGATTTCTTTACTCTCCAGCCTTCTGATTTCAGCGAGGGTTCCGTAGGTTTGGCAGAATAGCACGTTGCACCCAAACAGCCGTAAATTTGCAGGAAGTAAAAGCGAACCGAGATTCACTTGTTTGTTCTTTTTTTCAGCCAGCCAAGCACACCCCAAGTTCTGCATGCACGGCTACCTCTTCCCCATGCCCATCGCCCTCGGACCTTTCCCCCATCCTTCCTACGACACGACTGCAGGTGGGTTTTCTTCCCTCCTTTCCCCAGCGTCTGGGCAGAGATTTTGGTGTCGGTGCTGCACTTCTCCCACTGTAAATACATGAGGCTGAACATGACCAAGACTTTTGGAAAGCTCCTTTACCAACTGACCTTGCTCAGTTGACTGCCCCAGTTGACTGAGCAGATCCAGATGTTCTCCTGCCTCTTCTCTCCTTCAGAGCCGTGAGACATGCACCCTCCCAAGGGTGCTCAGCACTTACCCCTATGGGCAAAGCAGGATGCTAAAAAAAAAATCTCCTTGCTCACTGCAGGGAGCTGGAGGCCAAGGGCTTCAGCCCCACAGCCAAATCCAGACCCTGCGGGCAAAAAAGGAAACGAATTTTTCCTGGGCTGTTGGCTTGTGGCAGCCCAGTACTGACTCATTTCCAGAGTCTGGCTCCCCAGGAGAGCTCTGGTTTTGATTTGTTGCAAGACAAAATAAGCAAACACTGGCATATCAGTTAAAGACCAAATTGTTAGAAGACTCATGGAAGAGAGCGGCTTATTTTTAATGCACCGAATACGATGCAGTTGGAGAGCTCTCCTTTCAACCGGTTCCCTTTTTATTTATGTTTCTCTATATTTCCAGAGTTCTTTAATGAATCAGCTGCTGTTAGGAATTTTAATTTGCTAAATTGGTGGCAGCAGCTAGAATTAATTCAATGATCTTTTTTGAAATGAATTGATTTCTTTAAATAGTGTGCATCACTCTGCGTTGCCTCGGGGGATCCGGGGCAGGCATACTGCACAAACAAACATCTTGACCTTTTCCTTAGCCTTTAGCAGTACCTTTTTTATTTTTTATTTTTTTATGAGGAATTAATTAAAAGAACCCACAACATTTGTCATGTGAGGGAGAGCAGCTAGTTTCTTTCGCCGTGCAGGATTCCTGCCTTGGGGAACATGCCGTGGTGGAAAATGGATACGAAGGACCTGTCGATGGCAGAAGGAGGAGTCTGTGTGCAGCAAGCAGGAGGGTTAGGCAGGGGGAGGTTTGGTTTTTTTTTTTTCTGCTTAGGAGAGGCAGGCGTGACGTCTAGATTCTGAATGATCCTGCTTGTCAACATCCTATTTTTTCCCGTACTAAATAAAGGGCCCTGGAGGCATCTGCCCTTGCCTGTCAGCCCTTGCCATGAAACCTTCTGCAGCTGACGTGCCCATTGGGACAGATCCCAGGGACACGAGGAGGTCCCAGCACCCACATTCAGGGTGAGGGAGGAGCACTGGGCTCCTCTGCTGCACCCACCCTGCTGCAAAACATTTGGAGATCTGCAGCGAGCAGACGTTAATACTTGTTTTGTTTCAAACCAGCCCGTCCTCATGGGTAAATGATGACAAAACAGGAGGCTGTCCAAGAAGAGGGGTCCTCCAGCTATTACCTGCTCCAGAGATAATTCTGCCTTATCTGCATCCTCTTAGGCTCCCTGAGAGAAACAGGTGACAGGAGGTTAAACATGAAAATGAATTCTGTGGTTTTGGAGAGTTCAAGATACTTATCTCTCCCTAAGTGGCTCTCCTGACAAAATGGTTTCAAATGAGTAAAATGCATTTTCTCTGTATCGTTTTTCTTTCAAGTGTGAATCATTTCAACATTACCCACTTGCTTGTGCTCAGCTTAAATCTCTCTAACTAGCACTCCCGAAAAAAAACAATGGGCAGAGTGAGACGCCACGATCTGAGGGGATCAGATAAATCAGGGCAAGGGGGAGCAGGGTAGCAGAAGGTCTCCTGAAGACCACCACCTCTGGCCAAGGTTTGCAGCAGCGACTGGGAGATATTTGGCTACTGGGAGACCAAAATCAGTGGGCTAAATCCCTTCCTGTGGGATGTGACGGACTATGCTTGCTCGGCTCCGGCTGCCATGGTCGCACAAAGTCACAGCGAAACCCCCAAATCCAGCAGAGGAAGAGGCAGCCGTTCTCTTGCCCTGTTCTCTCGCTTGGAGCCAAGCAAGGCCACTAGTGGGGGAAATCATGATCTCCCATTTCCCCCGCAGTCCTGCTGTCAAAATCTGCCTTTATTTTAGACCAGGAACCTGGCACATTCCAAAAGCGTTAATTAGAATGGAGCAAAGGTGTGGTCTCATTCCCCCTCTCCCAGTGGTGCTATTTTCTTCCCCTTCTTGCCAAGCTCTTCCACTCTCCTCAGGCACAGGGGGTCCTTCATTCTTCACCCCCTTTCATGGTCTGAATCCCTGGTGAACTCTCCCAACCCCTTGTACTCATTCCAATCCCGTTATGGTAGGACCAGGACGTTCAACCTGAACTTGCACCAGCTCTATGCAACAACTGGGAGTATTCAAGGCCGTAACGAGAAACGCTACTGGCTGTTGCTGAAGCAGGAGTTAGGTATGGACTAAAGAAAAACACTTCTCCTCTCCTTTCCTCTGACTTGCATTTTTTTTCTTTCTTTTTCTTTTTTCTTTTTTTTTTTGACCTTGCAGTCTACAGAGGCTTTTGGACGGCGTTCATCGTGCTGGCGGTGGCCGCCGGGCTGGTGGGAGGGCTGCTGCTGGTCTGCGGCGTGCCCTTCGTCAGCCCCAGGTTCTACAAAGTCGGAGGCGGATTCCTCCTGGCCTCGGGTAAGCGATGGTGACGCTTGGGGACAACTGGGCAGGGATGCAATGGCAGTGCTCTTCTTCGCGTAGCTGGAGCTTGGGAAAAATACTTCTTTTCCCCATGGAAACCAAAGGAGCAGAGCTGGTTGTTTTAAGAGAGTCCACAGTGTGTTAAATCAGCCACGCTGTGTTCCCGAAGTCGGCCTCTGCGTTTTTGGGCCTCTCCAGTCTCTGCCCTTAACATCTGGTAGAGCTGGAAACCCGCTGAGCGATGAAAGGCGAATCCGACGATTCAAAACGGAAGGGCTGGCTTAATACAACCTGAAAGGATGAAGCGGTTGGCACAGCAGGAAAATGAATTAAAAATAGGCATTTATTCATTATTCCCACTGCCATTACAAATGATTCCACTGAATTAGCACATGGGCTTTTTGCTTTTCTGTGTTTGAGAAGGAATAACTGGCTTGACTAGTAGAAATACTTGATGTAACAGTGGCTCAGACTCAGAAAAAAGCTTTTTTTCTGACTCAGGCAGCAAAAGACTGGAGTTCAGCTAAGCCACGCCGAGGAAGGAACTTCGAGATGATCTCAGGTCTTTCTCTGAAAAAACACTGCTTAATTACAGATCCTGCACTGGGTTCTGCTTCCTCCTAAACGGCACAAGTCAAACAGGAGCCAATGTCCTCGCTCCTGGCTTGGGCTTTGGGTGTCCCCAAGCATTTTGGGGCATAAAACATTCATAAAGTATTTAACAAGAAAAGTCTCAACACTGACCATGGAGGAACTCTACCTAAACTCCTTCCAATCTCGCCATGCCCTGCTGGTATTATCTTCTGCCTTTCCCCCCCATTACTTAGCTCCCTATCCATTTTATAGCTCCTTTCCTAATTTCCATCTCCTCCAGATGTACTAATGATTAACCATGTGACACCAGCTGAGCTGCTTGTTAAAATGAAGCTAGATGACATCTCTCTAGCTGTCTAAAAAAATCCAGAAGGCACTAAATCTCTAAGGTTTCTTCCAGCCCATGCCATTCTATGATCTACGATCTATGATCTAAATCAATTTGACTCCACCTGCCTCTGTTAATTCTCTTTGCATTTGGTCCAATTTTCCATTTGCTTCCAGGGCTTCAGTTATTGATGCGAGGGCAACAAGCTGGAGGGTATCTGCTTATCTCTCTCTTGGGGAGTTTAATAAGTGCTTGGTTGGGCTTAATTTTTTATAAAGGCAAATTTCACGTGGTTTTACACACTTGAATTTCATTTGGGAATGCAAGATGTCTTGCTGTGAGATCTCCATCAGGTACCAGCACCTTCTACTGAGTAGTGTCGGCCGCTCCATGTGTATGTGTGTTGAAGTCATCTCTTCTTGGGAGACTGGGGCCAAACATCTGGAGCCTCTCAGATGTGACACTCTGGCTGCTTCAGTTAAAGCCTCACCTCTTCAAATCACTCAACTTTCAGGACAAATGAAAAAAATGAGATCGAAAACCTCCTGGCACTGGCCTGATAAGCAGAATATCACATGGAAAAGGGCATCGAGTAATATTGAGTCACTCTATTCGATCCTTTTTTTTTTGTTATTTTTCTTGCATTTTATTGGACTACTTCTTGATTAAAAGGCTGGGGCATAAAATGTGACACTTTTTAGAAGAGCTGATTATGCATCACACAAACCTCTTGGCGTTAGACAAAGATGCTGCTGTTTAAATTGAAGTTTGTATTAAAGCAGTTTCAATCTGAACAGCAATCATTGTTATTAACTGTCATTAGGAGGAGTGAGTTCAGCTAGGAGAGACTTCCTGCTTTATTTTCCATCTAAATGGTAGCTTGGAGAATGCAATACTGTTTCAGCATTTTTAGCAAAGTTTACTTAAAGTTTCAGCTGATAATTATTTTATTTTTGGGGTGTGTTTTGGGGGTATCCTGAATTTGGATCTCTGAATCCTACTTAGCTCTAGATTCCTGATGGATTCGGGATACATCCCTCCACGGTTATTTTCTTGCCGTTCCTTCTAAAAATATTTTGCATAATTGCACTAAGCAGTAGGAACAATAGATTTAACACAGCTTCAACTCCCAAGCCGTCCCTTTCCTTCAGATAGTGGGATGTGGAGCGACGAAGCAGGAGTGAGCGCGTCTTGTCTTCTAATCATGGCCCGTGGGTCAGTGTTAATTAACCTCCCTCACAGAAGTGATCTCTCCTTGAGGAAGTGTGAAAAACGCTGGCAATCTGTAGAGTGGGAACGTGGTCTGGCAGTCGGATGACGAGATTGGAGCACCACGGCTGCAAGATGCCCCGGCCTCTCATCAGGGCATCCTTCATACATCAACTCCCTCTGCCCCGTTTGGTAGCAGCCCACGCTGAGGTCACGAAACCACGTCCCATTATTGCAAAACGATGCAATATTTGCCTCTGAGAAGCTCTAAAGACGATGTTGGTTCAAACGCGCTCCCACACGTGTTTATGGATAACCAGCCTGACGTGATCTTGAGGAGTCCGCGTGTCCTTCCATCACCGATGGGAATTCGGCATGTTAGAGTGAAGATTGGTTCAACTCAGATCGATCCCTTTGGGCAATTTTAGAGACCGAGGGCAACTCCTGAGCGTGCAGTGCTGCCCTAACGCATCGAGATCCTCTGCTTAAGTGAAAAGTTGAGCAAGGCTCTACATGAAGGTTTGTTTAGAGGTGAGGAGGCTGCTCTGGAAGGAACATGCAGGTGTTGCGTGGGTGTGTGGTGAGTTTTCAAAGCAAATGCTAAAGATGCATGTCCTAGGTAGCATCAAGCAACCTAAAGAGAAGCTTAGTATCAGCTTACTTTCCACTGGAAAGCACAGACCTGTGATGGGCCATGGCCACTGTCCAATTCTTCCAGCTGCTGCCATCCCAGTGTGGTTTCTCCAGCGTCCCCGCTAGTATGTCAGCGTGGACACACTCGCACCCTCCTGCAGTGCCAGGGTGGCCATGGACTTTTTTCAGCAGGTAAAGGCAGCACAAAAGCCTCTCCTGCATCTTCCAGAGCCGTGTTGTTGTCCTGCGATAGGAGCAAAGAGTGCGCTCAGCCCTACCTGTCCTTCAGCGTCAGGGGGTGGCATTAAAAAAAACCCCAACAAGGCAGCTTCGTTGTCAGTCCTATGAGTTTAAGTGCTGAATTTTGTGCTCAGATTCCTCTTCCTGCATCAAGCATCTCTATTCTGGCACTCTCGGGCTCCCCACGTGCAGCAAAAGCTGACGGCTGTAGCCCTGCCCTCCGTTTCCTCGTTATTAACATCCTTAAGAGGCAACTAGTGAGAAAGGCGAACGAGTCAAAGTTCATTCTTCTCATAATTAGCAGATTACATGAAAATTCAGTAGCTTCCACAGGATAAGAGTTAAAGATTGAGTTCGCTCACCTGGCCCTACAATTAGCAGCTATAAAGGTGTCGCGAGGATATCAAGTGAGAGAAAGACAAAGCCCGACTCCAATTTACTCACGACAGAGGTGCAGCTCTCCCGGGAGGGGAGCTTTAGCGCTGGGATTTGCTGTCCTGCCTTTAGCAGCATACGAAGGAGAAAGATTTAATACCCAGTTTCAATTTTTTTTGCAATTAGCCCCTCCCCAGAAGATGCTGTTGACCTCATCATCACGGAGATGGAGTTTCGCCGTTAATTTTTTTTCCCCCATGCTGTCCTAATGAACAAAGAGGGAAAGGAAGAGAAAGAAAGAGATCACTTGGCTGTTTTTTCCAGTGATATAAACCCCAGGGATGCTGAGAGGGGCCTGGGGATGGTCTGGTTTGATGAGGTCCTGGCTTGCACTTACCCAAAACCAACACAAGTCGTGTGTCTCAGGCATGTGTGCCCATGCAGGGCTCATTCTTTGGGCAGAAAACAAGATTTATTCTCTTTTTTTCCCAATTTTTCATTTTGCTGCCCAAGGCAGGAAGAAATCTGCCTCTGTATCTAAAAAGCCATTTGGGACTGGAAAGAAAGGAAGATGCCTTTCTGCTGCGAAGTCCCCCAAAAGGAAGTAAAGTCAGTCAAAAGATGATAAATCCTGCCAGAAATAGCATTTTAAAACAACGCCAAACAATTTGGTGGTATGTGAGTGAAATATCCTTATACTTTCATCATGAAGCATCTACTAATGTCTAAAAGCATGATGAATTTTGAGCAATTTGATGAATACTCGTGGTTGTTCCAAGTAAGCATTTTTTAATTTTTTTTTCGCCGAGAGGTTTGCAGCGAACTGCTCTTTCCGCACTTCCACCGTCCTTCTCCAGCTGCAGCTGCCCTTTTGAATTCCTTTTCTCGCCGAGGAGACGGTGCAAATCCCAGGGACTCCTCGCCGCTCGCCTGTAATTATTGCAGGGAAGAAGGCTGCTTCCTTTACGTTTTCTTGTCATTTTCCCAGAGTGTGAAAATGTTCTTAATTTAGACGCCGTGGCCATGCCATCACCTCCAGCACCTGTTTAATAATAAATCCTTCCGTACCGAGACCTGGCGCTTCTCCTGATGGTGCCACCGGCTCACATGGCTTCCCCGCAGCAAGGATTGGGAGGATTTAATCTGGTTTCTTCAACAAATGAGACTTAGGCCATTTAAAATGTCCCGGGACATTTCAAAGCCAAAATTTCTGGTTATTTAAAGAAAAACAGGAGAATTCAGAATTATGCTACCCTACCCATGTCGTCTGTCCCGCTGGGCTTGGGTTTTTGTTTGCGTCTCTTACGGTAGGTATTATAAGATAATGAAATAGAAATTGATCTTTAAAAGAGCACTTTTCAAGGTTCAGTTGCTATCTAATTAATTTAATTTTAAATTACATCAGTAATAAAGACTTAATTGCCTTCTTATCAATATATTGTATTTCGTAAAGGGCATGTGACTGTTTAAACGTGCAGTCGTTTCCTTACAGTGGACTAATCGGTATTTTAAACACACAACTATCATATTAAGTGTATAATATTTATTTGCGCACTTAATTTCAAGTGGTATCAAAATCTCAATGAACATGTAAATGCTACAGCAGCTGCTCTTTAACTCCTAGCCCGCCTCTCCAGCAAACATCAAGACTTTTCCACGCGAGGGAGAACATCTCAAAAAAAAACCCCAACCTGTGGTGATGCAAAGTGTATTTGTACGGTTACACCAGTTTTTCAATCACTAATGATAAATTTGCAGTCTTAGGGTATAGGAGGCAGTTTAGTAGACATGGCAGCTTAGGCTGAGTAGTTTCAACCTCTATATAACATCTAGTAAGGACTTTAAACCCTCTACACCGCCCCTTAAGTCTCATTTTTTGGCTGCAAGATGTGAGCTGGAGGTTTGTAGCAGCAAACGTGCCTCTACCCATTATAAACAGAAACACAGTGAAACGCTGTTTTCTCTGACTGAGATTTCAGGAACCACCATCACTAAGCAGATATATCAATGTCAAGCTTTACACGCTTTCTTTGCTTAGCATGGGAGTTGGATTTTGCTGTGTAGAAGCTGCCAGGAAGAATAATTAAATATAGTACAAGCTGCCTTTGATTTAAAAATTGCAAGGGGAGGCATTAAATCCACAACACATCCACAGAACTGTGTGGTAACTTGTCAACCAAATGAATTTCAAACTGTTGACTTCTACTGTAAAAATATTATAATCTGTGATGTATTTCTTTCATATATGCATGTGTATGTCTGTAGATCTGTAAGTTATACGGCACCATTAAAAAACAGCAAGCTCCTAGCTGTGAAGTAGCAACACCAGATATTACTGAAGGGCTTTCACATCTGTCCTCACATTGTCACTATTTCATTTTAATGTGTGTTGACTTTAAAATGCACCGTGGATATTCCGTATTGCGACACGGTAAATGATACTGGGACCACAATAGTTTTTTTTTCGTCACCTGCTTCATGTCGGGGAGCAAGACCTGCAGCCTCCGACAACCTGAATTACGGAGGAATGAGGTTCCTATGGAGGCATCGAAGCCCTAAAACTCGACGGGATTTTCAGCTTTTCAGCTGTGACCGAGCTTTTGGTGCAAACAACCATGGACCCATGAGAATAAACAGAAACATGCTGCGCTTCTTTCTCAATTTTTTATTCCTGCGTTTTCGTAGATAGAGAATAACTCATCTTTGCCTCTCTTTCCAGGAAGCTTATTTCTCCTGCTCGTGTTTCTCTTTGTGATGTGGAAGGAGTTTGCTGCCGATTTCCAGAAGTACATCCTGCTGGAGAGAAGCGAGAAGTGTGCGGACGCCGTGCCCGTGCACGTGTTCTACGGGTGGTCCTTCATGTTCGCCGCAGCCGGGGTGCCCCTGGTTTTGCTTTCCGGACTCCTCTTCTACCTGGTCGGCAGAGACATTATGAAATCCCTGGAGTAAGACAAGTTTGCAACGCTGGAGAAAAACGGTGACGCTCCTCGCGATGAAATGCACACGAATTTGAAGGACTTGCTCATTTTTGTAGCTGTAATTGTCAGCACGGGTGCAGGGTTACTCTTGGACGGAGCAGTGAGCATCCAACCACTGCTCGTCCAGCCCCGGCTGAACAGCCAGCTGCAGCATTTTCACATTTTGGAGAAATTTAGATATGTCTGTGGGGTTTTGCATCAGTTTTCTCTGCAGCCTGAGGAAAAGCCTTCGTTACGGAGGCAGCTCCCGGCTCTCAGCACAGCCCTGCGGCCGTGGTCGGCAGAGCCGGAGTTTTACGACGTTCCCAGCATCCTTGGTTCTTGTAAAAGGTAATCGAATCCGGCTGTGACGGTGTACGCTGTAATGTCTATTTCTGAAAAGCAATTAGGGATGATTTTTCTTCTTTTTTTTTTTTTTATAAGTTGGCTCTAATTAATGTCAAAGGACAACCGTTTTGATGGGATGTCGGGAAACATGAGAAACTTTTGGGTTTTTTTCCCTTAAAAGCCCTGATTCTAAAGATATGAATGCACCCAGACCTAACCTACCTTCCAATAACTGAATAAACCAATTTCCGTGGCATGAAGCCTATACATGAATTAATTAGCGTTTCTTTACAGCACCTCATTTAATATTTAACCCAGATGCAGCGTTGTGGGGATTCTCAACCCCAGAACTGAAAGGTCAGTGCTGGGGGAAAGCGAGTGGGAACGGCAGCACTGGTATGTTTTATCTTGTTATGGTAGATCATGGGACCTTCTTGTATTCTACAGGCGTAGCACAAGAGTATCGGCTCCAAAAAGACAAATTATATACCATTTAGATACTTTTAAATTCTTGCAGTTGCTCAGGTGTACACTGGCTGGCAGACCAGGGTAATGCACGATAATTTTATACCAAAGCATCAAGGCACGAGAGGTAAAATAATTTGTCCTGTGTATTTCCGACGTTTGTAAAAGACATTTGAGAAATGACAAAGCGTTGATCTTGTCAGGTTTTGTTTTCGGGCTGGATCTTGAAGTGGTTCCTTGGGCTGAAGTTATTTGCATAAATTTTAAACCGAACTTTCTGAAAATGCACGCGGTTCTCGTGGATGTGGTACTTTGAGCTAAACACACATCTCCCAATGATGTCACGCTGTTAACTCAGTGTAGTTAATTAATAATGTAATGTAAATCTCTTCTGGAAAGCAGTGGAGATTGTCGGCAGTATAAAAATATTTGTTAATGCTCTTCCTAAAATATTATTCAAGCCTGGCGTTTCTTTCCTTTTGGAGCAAGTTCTAATTATTCTTTTACAAGATTCACGGCATACGTGGAGTGAGAAATTGTAATTCCCACATGTAAAGATTAGTTCTTTCATATGAATAACAGGCTCTGTCTACAGTTCTTAAGCAAAATTCACACTGTTTTACCTTAATAGAAATTTTCTTTGAATAGACTTGGTTTATACAGGTAAAATGATGGTTTTTTTTTCCCAGTGAGTAGATATTTCATGACATTTACAAACACACAGATACTTTAGTACTTTAGTTGGCCATTCTAAACTGTTTTTTTTTCCCTCAATATCTCCTTGGGTTATGCTCATGCCCCATCAGTTCTTCAAGGGATAATTTCTCACTATAAATTCCCTTTGAATAATTTTTGTCATTTAATTATCTATTCAGTGTAGAGATGAACACTTATGGTCACAAAGAATAAAAGTATATAATCCAGGAGCAGAAGAGGTCAAGATTTACAGTCACTTGCCTTTCCCTGATCCCATAAAACAATCCAAGCATGCAGAAATGATGATCCTGTAAGAGACACCAGGGCAGAAGAATGAGAATGCAGCAAGAAATCCATCAGCCTTATTGATATCTGCGAAGCTGAGGATCCCTGAAGTTGTGAATATAGAAGTGAGTTTTATATTACAGAATGAAATATTTATTAACTTTCTCCATCTGTTCTTTAAAAAATTTAGTTTAATGTCGCCGAGGAGTTTATGGAATACATTTAGCTTAATCATGCATTCATGCCTTAGGGAGTAAACCATCCCTGGAGACTTGCTCATTCTGGATCAGCTCTAGAACAAGCAATAGTTTAAAACTCCATCGCTCTTTCGGGAAACACATGGCTTTGAATCAATCTTGAGCAGAGGTGTTTGGTGTTTTTTTTAAAAAACATACTTTAAAAAGCATACTCTCTCCAACAGTCATCTGGTATTGAGCATACTCTAATAGTCCCAACAAGGGTACGGAGACTGAGATTATAGACTGGCATAACTAAAGGAATTAGCTCCTATATTAAAATACAACGTCTGTAGGCAGGACGAGTGATGTTGGTGGACTTGAGAGTCTAATTCCTTCGCCCTCAAGCCTCTTGCGGCAAATACAACCCAAATTTTGTGTGAGAATGGTCATTTCTGGAGGAGAAATTGCAAAAAACCCAACAAACCCAAGATAATGGACTCACTGGTAGGGTTTGAAATTGCAGAAACCACCATGTCTTTCATCTGTTGAATGGAAAGAAGTTTGATGAAAGGATATTACTGAGTAGTGACAAGGACCTAATTCTGATCTTAGTTTTGTCATTATAAATCACGAGTAATTCCAAAGACTGCAGTAGGCCCTTATCACTGCTAAACATCTGTAAGTCAGATCAGAACCGGGACTAATAAATACATTCAAAAATGCATAATTAAAACACATCACTCGGATGAATTTTAGTCAAGGATTTCTTCAAGGATGCTTTTCTCACATTAGCATTTGACGTTAGTAAGCAATGAATAATTCCATTTTTTCTTTCCAACATCTGGGACACTTCCTGCTTTATTTGCTACTTACTGAGCACTCTGCAGGAAATATTAATGAATCTTGGGTGTTGAAACAGAGGCCCTGTGGATCACGCTCGGGAGGCAGTGTTATGTAGTAGAGGCTATAGGTCTTGCGATTAAGAGGCTTGATTTTGGTGAAGTAAGATATTGGGAGATTTGCCAAACCTGTGGGAGAAACGGGGATTTGAGGAGGTTGCCTGAAAGCAAGTCCCTGCCCCTCCTTCACTCAGCTGTGCCTTCACAGCAGGGAGATAATAATTGATGAGAAAAGTTTTTCCCTTTGGTCAGATCAACTTTTTTTTTTTTTTAACCACTGATTCAGCCAGCTAACACCCAAGGATGCTTCCAAGGCTGGGAAGGTGCTGGGTGCTGGGCAATAACCACAAGGAGAGATGGCCTAGGTGACCATCATGCTGTGAGAGCATCCCCACCATGCTCAGCTGCTTTTTTACACCCCTGGAGGTTTATTCTTGGTAAATTATATGGTAAAATTCCACATATGGAGAGGTCTGCTGATTCTGAAGAGCAGCTTGCAGAGAGCTGCACTGAGCAGCAGAGGCAGGAGAGCTTCTAAAGAAGGAAAGAAATAACTTGCAGTGCTTTACAGAACTCTAGCTGATGTGGTGGTGTTGGGTCATAGTCTGGATTTGATGATCTTGGAGGTCTTCTCCAGCCTCAATAATTCTGTGGTTTGCAATTTTTCTTCTTGTCCGGAAAAATCCATTTTATGCAGACAGGTAGTTTTCACGTCGGTTGGACATACTCTTGCTGTCTTGGGGCGCTCCGATAACAAAATGTGAAAGTTTGCAAAACAAGTGTCTCCATCCGAGCTGCTCCCCAGGGCTTCCTACATCAACTCGGCATCACAGACGCTCTGGGACACTTGTCCTCACAGCCAGCCCATGCAACACAAGGGAAAAGTGAAGAGCTCAGGCTTTACATCCCTATGGAAGACAACCAAGGGAGATCTCCACGGCCCCCGTCCTCCAGGCTTCCGCGGGGCAGCCCAGCCCTCACCCTGCTGGCTCAGCACCTTCCAAAATGCCTCTCGTCACTCGTCCTGAGCAAAACCCACCCTGGGAAACGCCGGTGGGTGAGGGCACAGATGCGGTGTGGCAAATTAAGGCACAGAGAAAATTAAAATAAATAAGGAAATATAAGCTAGCGCCATGCTTTGTGCACCGGGCCGTGCATTACCACAGGATTAAGCCCAATCAGCCAGAGTACATTTTACAAGAGTGCACAGCACCTCAATCCTATAATCAATAAGCTGTACATGCTGCAGCACAAAGAGCTCTTATCTGGAATACCACTTTGAATTTAGTGAATTTATTTAATCCCTGATGCCTGCCGAGCATCAGTCCTGTCTCCTGGGTTAATTTATTTATTCCGGCGATCTATTTTTGGTCTTTCAAGTACTTGACATCCAAGAAGCAGATTTTATTTTTCCCACTTCCTATAAAAATATCCAACTCAGAAAAACTTTGTTTGCAGAAACATATTTGTTTCCTTACTCCTCTTTTTTTGGGAGCCAGAGCCCTGTTATTAATACTAATAACCATACATTGAATGGATCGGGGAAGGCTCCCTTTCACCCTGCTTGGCAAAGCCTGTTTCTAAATCCGTGCTGGTTATTCATCGATCTCTCTTTCTTCTCATCTTTTTTTTTTTTTCTTTGAATATTCTCTCCTTCTCTTAAAAAAAAATCACCTATTTTTGAGGTATGTCCAAGGTGCTGTGTTGCATTTAGTTTGGGAATTATTGTAAGTGCAGGTGATGCTCTTCTGGAAGTTGATAGTTCCAGGTGTGATCGCATGAACCCTTGGGTGAACCCAAAAGAACCAGTGGTTTAACCAGTGTGACCACATAAACACTTACTGTAAAAAAGAGATAACAAATTAAATAGTCTATGGCTATTGCTGTGATGGTGTAGTAGTGATTGTTATCAGAGCTGTAAAGAGTGAATTTCAGATAACCCACCTGGTAGGTTCTAAACAATTGGTTATAGAAGAGTAGATTGAAGATTTACAAGCTTTAGGGTCTGCAAAGAAGAAAAAGAGTCTTGTTTTAGCTTACCTGACTAGATTGATGGTGGCTTTGTAAAAGCCAGAGAAAATACAGAGTAGCACAAATGGCAATTGTTTGAAAAATACAGG